TCATGGTCGACCTGCCCCCACTTGCGCGCAACCGAGCGGAGGGCCGCCCACTCGTCCTCGAGCACCTTCCCCGTGCGCACTGACTCGCCTTTCTGAAACGTATGCTTGCAAACCGCGCATGGGCAGAGCGCGCTGTTGCTGTCGACCTGCGTGCCCGAGCCACTGGCGCTGGGTGGGCCGACCATGCAGGCATGGCACAGCGCGTGGCCACAGGGGAGTCTGTGGGTATTGAGTTGTGGGAGAGAGGAAAGAGGGCGATGGAAGCTTGCCTCCATCGGATCCGCTGCCGGGTGAGGCAGGCCTCGTAGTCCGTCTTGTTGTAGCGTGTAATCACGTTCATGGCATGCGTGACACGGCGAAGGAGCTTGCGGGGTTGAGAAAGGAGCATCTGGGTGAGCAGATGGACATACCAGCTTCATTGTGAGCTCTCTGGGCGAACTACTAGATGTCTTTGCACGTTGGCCGTTGTTCTCGAATACAGCGCTTTCGGGCCTAATCATTCGTTGGCTCTTCTGTAGTGCATAGAATGAGAGGAGGGTGTCTTCCTTTGAGCGACACTTACGTGGAGGACGGACAGGGCAGCCGCGTCGGAATTGAGCGCAGTAGTAGAATCGGCCTCCTCAGAATCTGAATCAGACACCGACGCTGACTGCTTTCCCTTACGGGCCTATCACAGGTGTGAACAGCTCATGAGAAAAGGGGGAGGAGATGCCCTGAGGACGCACTGACCTGTTTGAGCAGAGCACAATTCTCTAGCCTAAGTGTAGCATTATCACTGCAGAGCGAATACACCCTCTCTTCTAGGTCGTTGATGTACTGCTCTGTCCGCTGGCGAGTCCAGGGGCTGTCAATGCGCTGAGGCGTCCTGGACTCTAGTTTGGCAAGCTGCTCGCGAAGGTCCTTGTTCTCTGCCTGGGCGCGGCGCCAGACATCTTGAAGCCCCTCGATTGTGCCGGAGAATCGCTCCTACTCAAGTCCGTAAGCTATGTGCTGATTGTCCATGGTATGCCCATCCACTGACATCGGGATTCTCTGTTTCTGAGGACGGGGCTTGCCTCCTGCGGCGTCTCGTTGCTGGAGCTCTGGAAGGTCGGTGCTGGCCTGTGTCCGCATTCTCTGCTTCCGTAGTTTGGACACTCTCCTCTGAATCACTCGGGACGTAGACGTCGTCCTCTTCTTCATTGGTCTGGGAGACGAGTGGGCGTGACCTGTGGGGCAGCCGACGCTGTGAGCGGGTCCCTCGCGGCTGTCGGGGGAACTCTGCTCGCTCTCTCTTATCATCGAGGACCGGTACTTGGGTTCGCATTGTGAGGTCCGATGGCCGTATTCAGCAGCTGCGGTCCATTATATGACGTAATGTTAGCGGAGGCGATCGATCGACTCGAACGCTCTGCATGTTATTCCCGGATCAGGCTTCCCGCTCACGATGCTTCAGAGACAAGTGCGTGCATGCTCAGAGTGCGCGAGCACTGCCAGTGCTACCAGCTTATTATTGTTGCTCTCGGATGCAATCGCAAACAAAATGATCATTCTCCCTGGTGCAGGAAACACATGCGGTCCCTTCCAAGTAATCCAGCTTCAAGCCGAGAAGCGCGACCTCAGAAAGTAGCCTACTTCCTCCTAATCGAACGCAGGCTCAGCACGAGGCATCACGAAAGAAATACGACCTTACTGACCCACCTAGGGGGATGCGTTGCAAGCTTATTTACTTGCTCTTTGGTGGCTCTGCGCAGCCGCACGCTGGGTAGGTGCAGGAGCCGCCGTTGGCCTGGACGTTAGCGCAGGTTGCTTTGTCCTGCAGACCTGTCTCAGCGCCCATTCCCACTGCTGCAGATTGAAGACTGATACTCACAGACATTGTAGTTTGAAGGACGCTGAGGGGCAAGGGGTGAGTGGCGAGTGTGTTGGAAAGTCGTAGACTGAGTGCTAACGGCAGGTGTCGGTTCTCTTTTATAGCTGGTTCAGATTCAGATTTAGTGAAAGAGCATCGCGAAGTTCCGTTATTCATACAATGCCATTCGGCGATGATAGTCCAATGGTGTCCAGTGTGTTTGTTATGATGGTCGGATTTGCGTCAAGTGGACATGGGTGCTTGTATGTGACATTCCGCTTCGCTTTGGTTGGCTCGGTCTTATTTCGTTTCAAGCAAAAGTCTCTCGCCGCACAGCCATATTATACGCAGTGCTAACACCCCTTCCCTGTAAATACAAGTAAGAAATATCAAGGTCAAGGTTCAAAGGAAGTAACCAGTTTACGAAGTGGCTCATTCAACATGTCCCCACTCGGACGTGGTCGGCACAGTGAGCTGAGGTCTTTCCCTCAGCTGCGGCGCGGAACACCCCGGTCTCACGTACATTATTGGATGCCATAGAATCCGATGACCACGGACTCAGACACTTTTCGCAGTCCCGGTATATCAATGTGCACACCGTTGTCCAGATATTGACCAAGGCACATGCAACCAATCTGTAATCGACGGCTACTATAGAGTACGCACATTCTTAAGTCATTGCCATACGCTGGCTTGTTTGCGAGCGCTGAAATATCCCTTAGACCATGCATCGGCAGAGTCTCAGATCGCGTGCAAACGTGTTCCCTCCGAGTCATTAGTTACTAGGGACCATCGCTAGCGACCGGTACCAGTCTTGCTCACTCCTCCTCTGCGCTCGCTTGGCACTTGCTTGCTCATATCATCTGTGCTTGCTTATAGATCGGCAGCCAAATGCGAGAAGAATGAGGGAGCTCGGGCGAACATAGACCGCTCATGGTTACTCCCAGTCGCAGCAACGCCATGTAGTGATCATCCGATCCGCACGGGATGCACATCCCGGACTACGACGTGGGCCGTCTATATATACAGTCCCTCCGCTCTGCAACCCGTCAACACCATCTTCAACGAACACTGACATTTAGCATATCACTAGTATCATGCTCGATCACAAAGCACTCGTCATTCCCGAAAAGCAAGCGCTTTTCGTCTTGAAGTCGGTTCCTACACCCAAGCCTGGCCCGCGTGAGATCCTTGTCAAAGTGGAATCAGTAGCGCTTGGCCCGTTTGACTGGCTGGTCCAATCCTTGGGCATCCTTGTCGAACAGTATCCTACCGTCCTCAGCGAAGACATCGCAGGCACGGTCGAGGAAGTCGGCGAAGGCGTGACCAGGTTTGAGAAAGGTGACAGAGTGTGCGTTCCGCTCTTCCTGTCTGTACTCTGTACTGAATAGACACACCCGCAGTTGCAGGGAAAGCAATGCCAGTGTGCAAATCGGTGGCTTCCAGCATATGCCCTCACACCCGAAGATACCACTGCCGAAGTATGGACTAACTTCGAAGCACATACCCAATCAGATACCCCCCAATGTGTCCTTCGACTAGGCATCCACCATCCCGGTCGCCCTCGCGACGTCCGCGGTGGATCTGTACCACTCCAGCGAGAACGCTATCGGTGGCACGTGCAGCCTGACTCCACCTTGGGAAGAGGGAGGCCGCGGAAAGAATGCAGGGCAGCCCACCGTCGTCTTCAGCGGATCCAGCAGCGTCGGCCAGCTCGGTGAGTTACCCCACGCCGTGTCGCGTCTGACTGCGAGTTCAGCCATCCAGCTGCTCAAGTTCTCGGGCTTCAGCCCGATCATCACGACAGCATCCATCCGCAACACCGACTTCTTGAAGACAGTCGGCGCGACGCACGTCCTCGATCGCCCCCTCTCCCCGGAGGCGCTCCACGCAGAGATTAGGAAGATCACAGACAAGCCGTTCACCACGATCTACGACGCCGCGAGCACCACCGAGCCACGGGAACTCGGGTACGACCGCCTGGCGCCGGGAGGCATACTCGCGACCGTGCAGCCGCAACCATTCCCTCTGGAGAAGCTAGTGTCTGACAAAAAGGTGTTCTCCGTGTACGGCGATCTGAACCTCCCGCCGAACCGCAAGCTCGGCGTGAGCCTGTTTTCGAAGCTCACGGAGCTCCTCGCGGAGGGTGCGCTGAAGGTACGTCTGGCCTGCGTACGTGCCTGCGCCGATTGATGGATATGATGCTATTTTGTGTAGCTAACCCCAGTGGAAATAGTCCCAGGAGTTCTAGAGGCTATACCAGCAGGTTTGCAGAAGCTCCGTAAGGGCGTGAGCTGCGTGAAGCTCGTTGTACATCCCCAGGAGACGCAGTGACATGCATGCTTAATGGTTAGTAACTCATGTTTCATCACCCCTGGTGTCACCCTGGTTTCTGGATAATTGCGTTATATTCATAGTGCAAAGACAAACACCCAGCAGATCTGATCTGCGTCGCCACCATCTCAGAGGATGTCTCCGGTCGAGCCACTACGACAGCGGAGCCAGTTTTAGTGACTACTTCAACTACTAGCGGAGTCAATGACATACCCTGGCCGAGCGCTGCTCAAGAGAGACGGAAAGCAACGCTCTACTTGCTCTTTGGGGGCTCAGCGCAGCCGCACGCGGGGTAGGTGCAGGAGCCGCCGTTGGCCTGGACGTTAGCGCAAGTAGCTTTGTCCTAGCATCTACGTCAGCAACCTCCACAAGAGCGTGTCACGTACTCACAGACATAATGAGTTGTGAGGGTTGAGAGGTGGGGTGGTGAGTGGCTTGTGTATTCGTTGGCTGGAGCCTGACTTCCGGTGTGGGCTGTTTATATAGTGTATGACCGGCCGTGCCACCATCAGAAGGGTGTACATGATGCCTGAAATCCTCGTGTTGTGGTTGGTGTGGGATACTCTCAATAGCGCTATCCCGGTTGGCTAGTAAGCCGGAGAATCTCACCTTCAGATTATGTTCAATGTACAGGATCAGATTGGCCCGAGTTTTCCGAGACCGAATTAGATCACTCCTATATCGAGGAGCGGGTCCTTGTCGTGGGGTAGCATCCTGACTCGGAGCTGCTTCACATTGTCGGGAGCTGCATGTTATACTTGAGTCATCTTCTCCGACAAATATGCATTGGTTCCCAACCTCGAGTCAGACACGTATCTATATATCAATTCATCAAGCATTAATGGGGTAGTGGTAACCTGGGTCGTTGCCATCGGCAATCGTCGACCCGCCGGGGGTTCAATTCCCCCTTAATGCAGTTTGTTTTCCTTCATTGACGCACACTCTTGTGGAATATATTTTGCCGTGTGGATGACGCGAGCCGCTCGCTGGTTGAGATAGCAGCGGATGATGGCGTCGTGGGGAGCAAGAGCACGCGGGGGGACGGAGATATGACGATATAATCTCCCGCCGTCATGCCGGCTGAGTCTGGGCAAAGGTGCTTATAATACAACGTCTCGCGCAGCCATTCGCACTCTATCCAACCCCTCTCCACGACGACACCAGGGGCAGGGACAAGCATGAAGGGCGACGCTGAGAAAGCTGCCCTCCTCCCTACCACCTTCGACGAGGAAGTGCGCGCTATTGATGTACTACCGAAGAAGCGAAACTCGAGGTTGTTCGTTCGATGGGTGTTGAAGCGCACACTGGTGTTCTACGGCTTCGTCACGCTCTATGTTCTCGCGAGGCGGCTCTGGTTCGCGCATGAAGTCGCTCCTCGAGATGGGAATGCTGGAATATGGGCGCTCAAGGCCCTTGGGCCACACGGCAAGCTAAGCTCACACGATACGGAATTGAACGCAGAGGAGCTCTTCCTGTGAGTCCAGTTCACCGTAGACATGACATAGAACTAATCAGTCTACGAAAGCGCCGTGCCCAGCGCGGAGAATGCCCTCGCCTCCTCGCGCAAGTGGGCGACTAAGCCCCATCTCGCTGGCTCGCCCCAAGACTTCGAGGATGCAAAGGATATCCTCGCTCTGTTCCAGGAAAACTTTGGCATACCGAAGCCTCCCGTTACACCTCTCTTCCCGGCTGGCTCTCACCGCTCGCGATCAGCGACCCTCAACATCAATAAGTTGCACGCTCCGGCAGCCTGGATTGATGAGTATTACCCTGTCATGAACACCCCGGTCAACCACAGCCTATCTGTGCGCAACGAGGATGGAGAAGCCATATGGGAAGCGGACTTAGAGGAGGATGGGGACCCTGCTGATCCCGAGGCATCGAAGTACAGGACTGCAGTACCTGCATGGCATGGGCTGAGCAAGGACGGAGAGGCGGAGGGTGAGCTAATTTACGCGAATTACGGCAGGAAAGAGGACTACGACGCCATCATCGCTTCTGGGGGTGACCTGAAAGGAAAGATTGTCCTTGCCAGGTATGGAGCAATCTTCCGAGGGCTCAAGGTAAGTGCCGTGATCGTGGGCTCAAGAACGAGACCGACCTTCGCCTGCAGATTCAACTCGCTCAGGGGCACGGTGTCGCTGGGGTTCTGATCTACTCCGACATCCGTGACGACGGCTTCGTGACCGAGGACAATGGCTTTGACACCTACCCCGCTGGTCCTGCACGCAACCCCGCCTCTGTCCAGCGCGGCAGCGTGCAGTTTATCTCTGCTTACCCTGGCGATCCGACTACCCCAGGGAAGCCCGCATACCCCGATGCCGAACGCACGGAGGGGGCTAACATTCCCAAGATCCCGAGCTTGCCCATATCGTGGGCCAACGCAAAGAAGCTCCTCGCAGAGATCGGGGAGGACTTGGACGAGGCGCGCAGTGTCAATGGGAAGTCGAGCGTACGCAAGGTCAAGCTTGTCAACCATGGTATGTTTGTTGTGCTGTGTCCGTAGATATTTAGGCGCTGATGTAGGTGGTATAGTCGACGACAGAGTGATTCCCATCTGGAACACTGTGGCCGCCATCCCGGGACACATTCGCGATGAGACTGTTGTCCTTGGATGTCATCGCGACGCATGGGTGATGGGCGCAGTGGACCCGGTCTCAGGCACGGTCTCCTTGCACGAAATCATCCGCGCGTTCGGCGTGCTGCTCAAGAGTGGCTGGAAGCCTCTGCGCAACGTCGTCATCGCGAGTTGGGACGCAGAGGAGTACGGCCTCATTGGGAGCACGGAGTGGGCGGAGGACTTCCCGGAGTGGATCCAGCGCAACGTCGTTGCCTACTTGAACGTCGACGTGTCCGTCAGCGGCTCCGCGTGGCGTGCAAGTGGCTCGCCCTCGCTCGCGCAGCTCATCCGTGCCGTGGCGCAGGACCTCCCGCACCCGACTGTTGCGAACAAGTCTCTCTGGGATGCACAGGAAGACGTGGGACCCTTCGCCGAAGCGGCCGCTTTGGATGTGGCCACGCTTGCTGCGTACAAAGCCATGAAGAAGGAGCGGCTCGGGCCCGCGGACACCGGTGTTGGCGCGCTTGGCTCGGGCAGCGACTTCACGCCTTTCTTGCAGCATCTGGGGATTGCGAGTCTGGATCAAGGCTTTAGTGGCACGCTCGGGGACGCGGCGTACCACTACCACTCGATATACGACTCGGAGAGGTGGATTGAGTTGTATGGTGATCCCGGCTTCCACCGCCATGTTGCAGTGGCCAAGCATATGGGCCTCACTGCACTTCGCCTTATTGACTCGATCATCCTTCCGTTGAACACAACACAGTACGCGTTCGAGCTCGGAGTCTACCTTGACGAGTGGGTTCTTGTTCAACGAGATGTTTGCGGCTCACTGACAAGTCAACTGTAGAGTGGAAAAGATCGCCGCCTCCACTGACCTTGATGTCTCCCCCAACTTCTCCGGCCTACGCGCCTCGATCGACAGCCTCCAATCTGCCACGCTTGCTCTCGCAGAAGAGCTCGTCGCCGCGGAGAAGGAGTTCAAGCATGCGCTCGCGGCCCTACCCAAGCACGGCAAGAAGATCCAGGGCCACTGCACACGCGCACACTCGCACATCCCGGAGTGGCTTCGCAAGATCCTGCGTAAGATCCGCAAACACTGGAAGCATGCTAAGAAGGAGGCCAAGGCAGTCAGGCGCTTTGTGGAGGCAGCCAAGCGTGTGCAAAGCGGGAATGCGAAGTTGCAGAAGTTCGAGCAGGGCTTCATCTCGGAGGAGGGCATCGCAGAGAGGGAATGGTACAGGCATTTGGTTGTGGCGCCTGGGAAGTTTCTTGGTATGTCTCTTGCGTGGTGCATGGTAGTTTGGAAGACTAATGTTAGTATTACAGGATACGGGGCGACTACGCTACCTGCGGTGACAGAGGCGTTGACCATTGAGAAGAACAGCACTCGCGCTGAGATTGAGGCTAAGAGGGTATCAGACCTCCTTGATGTCTTGGCACAAACAATCGCCGTGTAACAGTAAATATTGGACGATATTTTGCATAACCGGGGTTTGCACACAGTGGTGTGAAAGGCTATAACACACCATGATCAGTGGCGTGAAACTTGTCAACGGCACATTCATAAGTATGACGAGCATCTGGGTTACATATGACGCAGTGTCGTCTATAGTCGACGTGGTAATTGTGCTCTAGACCGGCAACATACCCACATCTCCTTCTATCCCTACCCCCACACCAAGACTCCCAGGGTAAGGCAGGTCTCCTTCCGAGATGGGATTTCTTCGAGCTACTGCCGGTACTTCGGAGCAGACGGATTCCTTCTTTGCCTAGGAAAGCATTGCTCTGAATGGTGCTAGCTAATCGTAGGAGTTGGGTACTCACAGTCTGATCTAGCGACCCTACGCGCGTCGACGACGAATTGTAGTCGTTTAGAGACTGGCGACCGCCTAAATCGTGGGTTGCTATACTTTCACGGAAGCTAGTCCGTGAGTTGAGGGTGCGGAGGATGCCTAGGGTGTAGAGTTTCGCGGTAAGGAGGCTGAAGAATAAGTCAAGATGTCTAGCTGACGACATCTGTGTAATGGGTCGATGTGAGTGTTCGCTCCATCGGAAACTAGTAGAGACATTGCTTACTTCCTTGCCACAATAAAACACCACAGCAACTAACATGCTGGCCGTAGGCAGGGCTGCAGTTTCCCAAGTAACTCTGATGATCGTCTGCACAAGCTGGTCCGTCTGTGCGATGCCAATCTTGCTCTTGTACAGGTACCACGATACTATCAGGGTAGGGTTGGCGCCTGACCTAATGTTACAAACTGCCGCACTCACATATTCCGGTTAATGCGATGGAGAGGACGAGAGAGCCAAACACCCAGAATGGGAAGGGCCAGCGCCCCGCTTTCAACGGCTAGGATCGCAGAACGACATCAGGCGGGATACCATACCTTGGAACGAGATGCACACTTACGTCCGCGTTTCCTGTTTCAATAGTGATACATTGCTCAATCAAAACAGCCTGGAGAACCGGTCCATGATCATGGATGCAGGTGTCATGATGAGCGAACCCACCAAGTAAACATTGGCAGCGAGCAACGCGAGGCTTAGTGTCGTCAGACAGACGAGTATCCAGTTGTTCTTGAACGTGAACTGCAAGCGCCCGTCATCAATCGTGTCTTTAGATTCTAATTGGGGTGACTTACTTTCCAACACCGACGGATGAGGAACGCTTCGCAGGAGGTGCATATGAACCCGCACAGAAGAAACTCAGTCCAGTGCAATCGGGTTGAGTACTGCAGAAACACATCGCAATGAGTATGGTCAGTACATCGAGTCCTAAACCGTTCTACGTACCCAATGCCGCTGTGTGATGACTTGGTGCCAGACTTTGTACGTCGCAAGGCTCGTTTGAAGTCTAAGCAAACACAACGGTCTCTGGTAAGAATACGATCCAGAATCAGCAGCCAGGCTCACAATGATAATAGGACTAGCATGGCGACGTAGAAACAGAGCGCCTTGCTATCATGTTTGTTCTTCTGCGTACCCCAGAACTTGACACCCTGAACGTCGAACTAGTCAGTCACCTGAAGCTACTAGTGGACGCCGTATCATAGACACCGCTCACCTGAGACAAGACGACGCCTTATATCTGTCAGTTATAGCACAGTCGTGGTGTGCCTTTCACTCACCTTGTAGAAAGTATTGAAATAGTGCCTGGAATAGAATCAGGCTGGACGAGCTAGTATCCGGCGCTCCGAGCTCGGTGGGGGCATCGCTCATGCTGAGGAGACTACGTTGGAGAGCCGTCTTGCGGGGCTGCGGGGACAGAAGCATAGCACCTGTTAGTTAGAGTCTTAACCAGCGGTGCAAAACGGTAGTCAGACCTCGCTCGCTAAGCCACCAAGACTACCGGT